TGTCTTTCTATGTGTCTGGGACAAACCATCCCTCTCCCTTTCTTACTCTTAACACCTAATTAGCTGAAGTGCTGCTGTTGCCCACAGTTGCTAGATTTGTACATCTGTGGGGAGAGAGCTCTCTGTGCATGGCATTCTTCACGGTACTTTCTCCTAGGTTCAGTCTCAAAAATAGCAAAATTACAGTGTGCACATGCTGTTTTAGTATCTGGGTTCCCTGAAGATTCTGTCTGCACTAGGCCTGTCCTACTCTGAAGCTGAATGGGTCTTCTTCCTGCAATTGCAGTTTTGGCTGGTGCAGACTGAGTCAGGTCAGAGCACTTGAACTGAGAGCAGGGGTTTTCTTTCTCTGTCTCTTTTCCTTCTAAAGGCAGATGCCTGTTTTGAATGCAGAGGGGTCAAAAGCCAGATCTGTAGGAAGCAGCACAGAAGTGAGGGTAACAATATCCCAAGCCCCCTTTTGGGGTCAGGACCCACAGTTTGAGGGTCTCCCCCAGTGAAATCTTTATAGTATAGGGTAAAAATACACAAAAGACCAGATTTCAGGCAAAGGAGAAGAGGGAAGACCAGATTTAATGGCCTATGATGTGTTTTTTATGGTTGTGAATTTGGCGGAGCCCTATTTATTATACCGAAGCCCTGGATCTAAACTGCTCCCCACTCTAGGAATTTGAATGCTTGTTCAAACTTGCGCCTTGGGTCCATCTCTAATTTTAGTGTGTGATTTCAGGGATGCCTCATAAGGTCAAAAGTTAATGTCTGGGTTATAGACAGCTGTGATGAATTAAGCAGCCTGATTTTCCATACTTATTCTTGCTATGAGTCTATAAGGTTTGAAGCTCTGCTTTCTGAAGTGCAAGAGATCATCTGGTTTGAAAATTAATGTGGTGAGACTGCTAGCAATGATGTAAAATAAATGAATTGGCATTTTTCAAGGGAATTGTATGAGGTAGTTTAACCTACATGGCATTTTTGAGCAGCTTGTGCATGCTCTTTAACGCTTTCATTTGAACAATAAAACAATGTAATGCTTGCAACTTGCAGAGAGTGCTTATGGTAAAATATTTCCCTTCCAGCTGTGTACAGCAAAATTCTGATTGTCTAACTGAGCTCTTGAAGACCTCTGGTACTTTTTGTTGTTGAACATTCATGATACAGCTAGATTCATTTGCCTTGGAGACTGGTGTTCTCTATGCACGTGGTATAACAGCATAGTTCAAGGTTTCCTGTATTGCTCGGCTACTGGGCCTTAACCCTAACCTGGGGCAAATATCTATGGGTATGTGTACACTTGCTCACTATCTCGAGATAGGGATGCAAATGTAGTGTACAGAAATTGCTAATGAAGCACGGGATTTAATTAGCATAATTGTGTCCGGCCGCCATTTTGAAATCGAATTCCCAGTGGCAACGGAACCCCAGGAAACCCTCAGTAGCAGTGGGGCCAGCAGTGGCTGGGCAGCCTAGGGCAGGGAAACCCTGAAGAGCCTCTGGAGGTATCAGGGCAAGCAGTAGCTGAACGGGGCTGGCGGCAGCTGGACAGCACTGGCTGGGGAACCCTTGGGAACCTCTTGGCGTCAACACGGTGTCTGGCAGGGGGAACCCTGTGGAGCTCCCGGCACAGCGGATGGGTAGGAGGATGAGAGGAGCCAGCAGTGGAGCAGCCAGCAGGGGATCATTGACTTCCCTTGGTCTGGCAAACTCAGTGGTCCAAGATGGCTCAGGTCCCAAGGGTACCGGACAAGGGAGGTCAAACCTGCATTTTTTGAAATTCACACCTTCTTTATTCAGGAATAACTTCTCTATGTAGATAAACCTTTAGGAGATAAAAAAAGGTGTATGAGTGTGAGATGGACAGGCAACTACATTCATTTCCCATATGCCTCTAAAGTTCTGTGCTTTGAGAATATACCATGCATGCTTTATTATAACAGGACAGTACATAGTTTTATGTACCTCCAGCTTTTAAAAAAATGGCAGTGTATATTCTTATCTACAGTTTTATATCTTAAGGCTGAGATTTTTCTAGTATTCTGCTTTATGTATTTTACTGCAGTTTGAGAACATTCAGAATGACAAAGTCATCAGGTGCATGGCTAGCTAAAAATAAATCAGAGCAGCTAGGGATGTAACAGTGTAACTGTTTAAATAGATAATGGATAAGCATCAGATTATCTGTTTCTGTTATGGTTAAACTCTTCACCAGCATGAGCTAGTTCCCGGCTGCCAGCCCTGCTCACGGGGAGCTTGCTGTTGCCCGTGCTGTGGGCTCTGCTGTATAAACTTTAATGTAGATTGACAACCACAAGCCAGTGCATATAACCTGGTTCCTGTGCACACTGGCTCCAGCTGCTGGCCCTGCTCCTGGGGAGCTGTTTGCTGCTCCACAGTATAAAGCTTATACTGCAGATTCTACAGTGCAACCTGCTCCCTGAGAACAGAGCCAGCAGCATATGTTTTATAATGCAGACCTCCCAGTATGTGTAACCATGTAACCGCTAAGATGTTTAACAATTACAGCCATTGTTTTATATCCTTAAAAGCTACAATGGTGAATCAAGCACAGTTATTTGAACAGCCAATTACAAGTGGCAGATATGACTGGATGATAGACAAATCATGAGACCATTGTCAGATTTAGCCATCCATCAGTATCTTTACTCATTACAGGGATTTAAGTGCAGTGTCAGAACACCAGTCTTGGATTGGAAATATTACATTATTTGATAGCAAAATAGAGAAGAATTGGCTTCTGTTCTCTGTGGTGGTCACTGAAGAAATCTTACATTACATGATAGCCTAGCATTTGCATGTTTTTATTGATCTGTGAGGAAGCTAGTTTTATTAAAAGGTAGATTTTTTTTTTTTTTGTCTTCCATGTCACATACAGAATGGGAATTGACTGTCTAGGAAGGAGTACAGGCAGTCCCCGGGTTACGTACAAGATAGGGACTATAGGTTTGTTCTTAAGTTGAATTTGTATGCAAGTCGGAACTGGCTCCAGATTCAGCCGCTCTGAAACTGATCAGCGGCTGACTACAGGAAGCCCTAGGCAGAGTTGCTCTGCCCCCGGCTTCCTGGAATCAGCCACTGATCAGTTTCAACAGCGGCTGAATCTGGACTCCTGGGACAGCTGAGCTGCTGCTGGGTAGGTCCCCGCAGCGCCTGGGTAGGTCCCTGCAGGACCTACCCAGCAGCACCCCAGCTGCTCTACCCCAGGCGTCCCGCAACAAAAGCCTGGTCTGACCAGCAGACCAGGGAGACCCGAGAAAAGCCGCGGAGGCACAGAGGTCCCTCTGCGGCTTTGCTCCTGTCTCCCTGCTGTGCACTTGGGGTCATAGTGGGCCACAAGCTAAATATGAGTCAACAGTGTGACGCTGTTGTAAAAAAAGCAAACATGATGCTTGGATGCGTCATGAGTGTTGTGAGCAAGGCACGAGAAGTCATTCTTTCACTCTACTCTGCGCTGATTAGGCCTCAATTGGAGTATTGTGTTCAGTTCTGGGCACCATATTTCAAGAAAGATGTGGAGTAATTGGAGAAGGTCCAGAGAAGAGCAACAAGAATGATGAAAGGTCTAGAGAACAGGACCTATGAAGGAAGACTGAAAGAATTGAGCTCCTTTAGTTTGGAAAGGAGAAGGCTGAGGGGACATGATAGTGGTTTTCAGGGATCTAAAAGGGTGTCACAAGAAAGAGGGAGGAAAATTGTTCTCCTTGGTCTCTGAGGATAGGACATAAAGCAATGGTGTTAAACTGCAGCAAGGGAAGTTGAGGTTGGACATTAGGAAAAACTTCCTAACTGTCAGGGTAATTAAACAGTGGAATAAATTGGCCAGGGAGGTTGTGGAATCTCTATCTCTGGATATATTTAAGAGCAAGTTAGACAGACAGCTATCTGGGATGGTCTAGAGTCTAGATGGTACTGAGTCCTGCCATGAGGGCAGGGGACTGGACTCGATGACCTCTCGAGGTCCCTTCCAGTTCTCGCGTTCTGTCATTCTATGTCAAAGGTTTATTTCAGGATAGTTAGCATGTATTTCTTTGTCACCAATACATGTTGCTGACAGAAGGAAGATAAGCGGATTCAAGTTTGTTAATGCATGCACATAATTTCCCCTTATTTATTCAGGTATTTTTAGTGCGCCATTTGTTATGGTATTTAGAAGCCAGGGCTAACTTAATTTCTATGACAGGATCATCCTCTGCAACCTGATAAAATCTCCAAAGCTGAATGTTTTTGTTTTGTTACATATAAATACATGCTTTACTTTCATATTGGTTTCTAGTACACAGAAGCATTCCTAATGTTGAGGTTGAAAACCTCATAATTCTTGGAGTAAAAAACCAATCCACAATAGCTAGGCATATAGTCTACTAACTGGTTAGGCCTTAGTTTATTTTCTGTGGTTACTGCTATGCTTTAACTTAGCAGAAGTCCAGCTGTTCTGGCCAAATCAAAATGTGCTAACCGTCAAGATTGGTTTGGGGATGGATGGGCAGAAATGTGGGTCTTTGAAAACTGATAATTTGAATTGATTTGGTCAGTCTTCAGTAATCATTACCCGTACAGTTAAAAAGGTAGAAAGTTGTGATGAACATTGATACAGATTCCTTTTCAATCAGAGATTTGGGTGGGAAATATGGATCTTCTCTCAAATCCTGGGAGAGAGGGGGAAGTGCTCAGGATTACAGTAGTACATTAGGATTACATTTTAGTCTATTGTTTACTGACACTTTCTTTAACTTTATCTAATTTAATAAGCCAAATACAGAGGAAATTTAAGGAAAACATATTTGTTAATGACTCAGAACAAAATTTCAGTCATTAGATGTGCCATTCAGTCTTTGTTTTGTTCCCCAAAATAATCATTATTTCTTTTGCATTGGACTGGACACTTTCCCTAATTTAAACATGGTGGGTACTAAATGGGTTCTGTCTTCTTACTGCTTTTGTTACAGGGTTTTATAACTTTCTAAAACCGTGTTTTATTATTTCAGCAGGCAAAGCCTTATGTCTTTGATAGAGTGTTACCACCAAACACAACCCAGGAACAAGTTTATAATGCCTGCGCTAAGCAAATTGTTAAAGGTAAGTCACATCGCAATTGTTGTATCTTACAGCAAATGTAAAAGTGAGTTGTGTTTATTGGTTTAACTGTAAAGCCTGGATTCAAGTATCAAAGTGTGTTGTCCCATTTAAACTGGAGTTCAGTCCTAGTAGGAACCAGCTTTGAAATGAGTTTTAAAAGAAGCTTCTGCTAACATGGTTTAAACACAATTTGCTTAGTGAGTGTGGATTAATTTTAAAACACTGTCAGAAACCATTTTACAATATCTAGGTCAGGAAAGCACTTCATCTAGAAAATCACTTTACATGATTGTTTTGACATATTTTTATCTGCTGCACCATGAGCAAGGAAACTGTTTTAATACTCACGTTAGCAGAAACTGCTTTAATCTCCTTCCCCTACAAAACAACAGCTTTAATCTCCTTCCCCTACTTTCCAAATTTTCCTAAATGTGGAGAAAACTACAGGACAGAGCTTTGCCATCTATCCATCTGAAGATGGTAGAGTCGTTTCAAGAAAGACGTGAAACTTCCTTTTTGCTAAAAGAATAGAGATTAGCTGCTGCTTAGGTGTTTTACTAGTTCAATTTGTGGCCTCATTTGTTCTCCTCTTAGACAAAAAACATTAAGGGCTTGGACCTGCTGCTCCTTTATGTACAGATAGTACCCAAAGAGGGAGCTAAACACACCAAAAAGTATGCGTGCTCTGCAGCTGGGAGCATGTCTCCCAGCCCAGGTAGACAGAGATGAGTTCAGTTCTGCTCAATGTAGTGTGCTTAAAAATAGCAATGTGGATTTTGAGGCAGGAGCAGTAGCATAGGCTAGCCACCAACGTATGAGTTTGCCTGACCCTCGAGTCTGATCTTGGTTGGCTAATGCATGCCTGCCCCTGTACTACAGTGTCCACATAGCTGTTTTTAGCATGATAGCTCAAGCAGAGCTTGCATGTGTCTGCCTGCATTGGGTTGGGAGGCATGCGCCAAAAAGCAGTGTAAACCTACTTTAGATTGCACCCCTACATCTGTGGAAAAAAAATACTAGGACTCATTTCACATCTGTGATTTAACTGGAAAACCCTGAACTTATTTGACCTTCTCTCCCTACCCCATAAGGATCTGATCCTGAAGTGGCAGGGCTTTGTAGTTATTCAGTGTCTCTCAGGCTCAGCCCAGATCTGATCCATAATGGCAAATAAGATGCCCAGGCTGATGGCATTTTTTTTAATGTGGAAAATCACTTGACAAACTTGTCGGCAGCTTCTTAATGCTATTTTAGAGTTTTTAAAATGCTGATTTAATGCAGCGTTACACAGCGAGAGGCATGCTACCTTGGGAGAGTGGAGGGCTGGCTGGGGAAGTATGCACAGACCTCAATTATTCTCCAGAATCTCACCCTCCACCCCCACATGAAAACTGTGTCTTCAGCTGTTAGGGCTGTAAAGGAAATCTTGAAAACATGAAGTGAGTGTAACAGATGGAGATCCATTTACCTGAGTTCCCAGAGAGCCTAAACCAGCGCTCTGAGGTATGAACTGCCTTTTTCTTTTCAGTGGGGTTTAATTTTGATGCTCATGTTCTTGTTTTAAATGTCAACGTTAACTTTTTGTCATGACTCAAGATTTTTTTTAAAAACGTATTCTATTAGGAAGATCTACACTCACTATTCTCCAAGGAGGGGACCAAACTGTAGTGATTGTCCAAATTAGGAAGGACCTGCCTTCAGCAACAAAATAGAAGTTGGATTGGGGGAAGTAAGGAAATGATTGGTTTCATATTCCTGAATCGGGGCTCATCTTCTAAAAGTTTTACAATAACACTGATTTAATGTGGTCCATTGACATTATTTGCTAATGTTATCTTGTTGGCATCCATGATGCCTGAATCATTGTTTTCATTTAAGTAGCTTTTGGATAGTTACTTTGCATCCTTACTCAAATAATACTCTCTCAGCACCAGTGGTTTCATTGTGATTAATATAATTGTAGAGAAGACCAGCTGGCTTAATGGCTGACCACTGGTTTCTAAATTGATGCTTATTATAATCACAATGGCATTCGATTTTTTTAAATTAGGACTTTTAGCAAAAGCACAGAAAAACTATTCTTTTTAATGAACAGGAGTAGCTAAGACAAATTATTTCCATATCCCTATATATAAAACCATACACTTTTGTACAGAAACAATCTATCTTGCGTAGTAATCTAGGTTTTAGAGAAATTAGTGAATCTTTCCTGCTTGGTAACTTTTGTAAAAGCCATTGTAACATGTAGTGGTGAATTGTTTAGTCATTCTTTCTTATGCTCTATTTTTTCCCCCTCCTGTTGCTTCCCACTATGACCTGGTTTTTTATCATTGGAAAAAAGGCTTCATTTTTTTCCTGTACAGAGAGATGATTGTCTGCGGCCTTTGTTTTTCATGCACTGTCCTATAGGAAGAATACTGCTGACTGAAATGAATTTAACAAAACTGTCTAGTAACCATGGTGTTTAAGTACATGGTCAATATATAATGGCCAAAGTAGCTATTCAGTTGGCTTTGCTTTTTAGTTTTTTGCAATTTTTACTGTGTGTCCGTGTGCAGCCTTGGAAGAAGAGACAATGAGTTGTTTTTAATGATTTCTTTGTGGTAATTGCTTTCTTGTTAGTTAGCGTTGAATAGCTTATTGACTATTTCAGTTATTCATGTCCTTTTAAAAATATTTAATGATCTAATTGTAGGCAGAAGAGAATTATACTGCCTACCTATAGGATAATTGATTCAACATTGTGTTTTTAAAACTGTACATTGTTTGATTATGTTTGATGTGTGAAAGTCTTGGGGTTTTGTACTAGATATAAATACCGGAATGAGCAGTCAGTCACACACACTTTCTCTCTAGATGCATATTTAAAAAAGGCTTGTTCTGCTCATGAATTCTGAGAGGAAAGCATTTAATTCTCCACAGAAAATAGGGGCACTGAAGTTTAAAAACATAGGCGCAAGAAAACTCTAATTATATTACATTGTCTACAAAATGATTTAAGGACGTGAGTGGCCCTACTTTGAAGCTAAAGTGTTCTTCTTAGCACTTAACACAGAGTTAAGGCTATTCTTTAGCACTGCTTAAAAAAGAAACCAGCTCTGTGAAAAGGTAAAAGTATAAGAGGACAGGAATAATAAAGGGGGAAAATGAGTGGAATAGGCCAGATATCTGGCCACATATGACATGAGCATCCATGAACAGCATTTACTTATATTTACCCCACAGTCATAGCTTGGTGACTGAGTTCACTGTGTTGATAGAGGGCTGGAGAGGGAAGGCATATGAGTACAGAGGAATATCCTGGATTAAGGATTAGTGTAGATTTTAGTGAGTTTGAAGAAAAGCATAACACTTACTGTGTTTGTAGAGAAAGGGTGGATCAGGAATTAAGACTGACTCAGTAGAGGGGCACTCATGTCCATAAATGTGTACAGACCCTCTCTCACTCCATGCTCCTTTGCAGGAGCTGCAGCCAGTGAGGGCAATATAACTAAAGGCTAGAGCAAACATCTCTCTCTCAAAGGAAGAAGACATTTTAGGTTTTCCACTGTGGAATCCTCTTTGTATATTACAGCAGAGCCTAAATGTTCTAGGCTCTATCTCTTCTAAATGAAGAGAAAGATAGTCCATGTCATGAAGATTATAAACGAGTTGACCAGAAAACAGATTGGCAAAAGGGAGAGAAAATAAAGCAATAAGGACTAAGTGTGTATGTGCACCTGTGAGTACGCACACATCCATCCAAAGGTGGTGCGAGAGAACCTGAATCTACAACTTTCAGTCCCTTAGTGGTGAAGACCAACCCCTTGTATTACTTGATTCTGGAGCCTGTGAAGGTTGTATAGTAAGTGTGCAATGTGCCACTTCGACATACTGGGACGTAATCCAGACTAACGAGTAGCTGTGTCACCCCGGCCTTGTAATCTGGGGTGCCCCTTATACTGCCGTGCTGCTGTAGTTTCCAAGCTTGACTGCTCACAAATATCGTCCAGCATCATGTATTCGCTACCCAGTATGTTTGTGTGCTGAGCCAGTCATGGCTTGGTTCTTACCAGCTGTGGTTATGCTGCAGAGTGATCCCAGTATACTCCCAGGTTCCCCAGAAATGTATGTCTTCTACTGCTCAGCCCTCTCCTGGACAGTACAAGTATTAAGTCCATTATTCCTTTAAGGCAGTTGTTCCTATTGTGGTGCACTGTCCACTAGTGGTCCGTGACCATTTTGCAGGTGGGCCGCAGGCTCAGGGCTCACCCCCCCGCCACCTGCCCCTGGCTCCACAGTGGGGAACCTGCACAGGTGCTCCAACCCCGCATGCCTCTTCTTGCAAAGTTGGTTTTCTACTGTGTGAATTTCCTACTGTGTGAGTCTCACAGGCCGGATCCAGCTCACAGAGTAGAGGCAGCAGCTCTGTGCACTGCCACGCTGCCCTCCCCCAGCTGGGGAAATGGCAGCGCAGGAACCTGCTCACTCGGAGGCTTTTCCCAGTGCTCCCATTGGCCAGAATCCTGGCCAAACTCCTACCCCTAGCTCATTCCTGCATGCATCCTCCCAGCCAGACTCCTCCACCCCACCCTGCGTCCATTTTCCAATGGGGTGGTGAGCTGGTGGTCCACAGAAGGATTTGTGTTAAGCAGAGTGGGCTGTGGGCCAAAAAGTTTGAGAACCACTGCTTTAAGGGAATGCTATGCTGTTTTATTTTAAATGCTGCAAATTTAAACAAACTTGTTTTACTGGGGGGATGGCAAATGGGGGAGTCGATGGGGCTCTGGGCAGAGGTGGGGCAGGGAGCTAACATCTCCAGGGGAAGCTTTACCCACCAGCTGTGCTCCTACCTCTTCACCATGATGCACCCTTCTCACATGTAACTGTGGCACCCCGCGTGGTCATCCATTCCTAAGTTGGCTCTGGTTCTCAAGTCTCTTCTGCTTTCACTACTGCCATGCTCTCTCCCAGATTCTCAATGCTTTAGGCATTCCTCTCTGTCCAGCCACCTACAGCCACCCTCCCAGGCATTGTCTGGCAGCTGGCTCAACAGATAGAAACTCAACATTAGTGTTTCTAGGGCAATCCATTAAAATCTTTTTTATTAGCCTCAAAAATAAAAAGGTAAATGAGGTGCCTGCCTCTGTCCTTTTAACCATCATGTCTTCCAAATACCTTGTCCGATGAGCCTCAAGCTTTAGAACAATAGTGTGAAAATTGTGGTCATGAAATTACAAGTCAACTTGTTTGGTGTTTGTGTAGGGATAATGGTGGTTAGAAATAGGGCTATAAATAATTGAAGGATAGCTCCAACCAGACCTCTGGGAATCTGTTGTCTTTCTAATATTCAGGCTAATACTGCCATAGGCATTTCTGTCTGTCCACGCTCACACTTGATTTAACTGCAAATCAATAAGATACTTCTTCCAAAAAAAAAAAAAAAAAAAGAATTCTGAATGAATGTTTTGAAATAAAGAGAAACTCTGACCTGTTTAGAGGTCCCTTGGTAAATAGAAGGGACTGAAGTGAATTAATGGACTAGATTGATTATATCTGAGTCAACTTCTTTTAATACCCTTTTTTCCATTTGTGAATTTATTACAGGCGTTCTTTGCCTAGGAAAGGGAAAGCTACATTTTATTTGTGATATCTCCTTTTTTCCCCATAAATATAGTAAGAGGATCTGAGTGCAAATGTATTTTATCAGTTGGGTGCATAGATACTCTGTATCATTATCTAATTGTTTGATTTCAGGGCTTGGAAAATTCACCCAGTAATATTAGTCTGAGTTCTTAAAAATAGCAGAGTCTTACGAACATGTGTGTATATTTTTCTCCACCTCTGCCTGAAAATCTCACTTACGTTGTTTATAAACAATGTATACTGTTGTGTGTTGCAACATTGTAACAATTAACTTTCTTTCTAATATATTTTAGAAAATATAACTTCACTCCTTTCCCAATCCTATTGTGTGTTGGATCATGTTATCTCTTTTGTCTTCGGTCTCTGCTCTTTTTCATTTTCAGCTTTCCTGTTCATTTATATTTTCAACTGTCTTCTTGTATTTTCTTTTTTGTCCCCTTTTCTCCTCTTCATCTCTCCCCCTCCTAATATAGCCTGTTACTCTTTCCTTCTCACTGGGCCCCTCCATACACATCCTGATGCCCATCAACCAGCACTGAAACAGGTTTGAAATGTTAGTGGGTCTGATAGCAATAGAGGACTAAACTTAAAGACCAAAGTCTGCTAGGTAAGATGGATGGACTGTTGCCAAAGGGCAGTACCAAGGTGAGGATTTATTTCTTCTCATCTTGTATGGGCAGGAGAAAGGACAAAGTACCGGGGTTACTACCGAGTTTGTCTCTGAATTGTGCCAAGGACTCTGGTTGGTTGATTTTTTTTTTTTTCAAGCTAGCCTGCAGCTCAGAGTTGGTTGACCAATTTGAAGTCTTCATTCAGCCTTTTCTATGTGCTAAAAGGGGTGGGTGACAGCTAGCCCCCCACCCCGTACACAATCTCTCTCGCTCTTCTCCCCTCCCCCCCCCCTGCTGCTACAGTGGCAGGTGGTGTGTCTCTGGTGCTTTATACCTCCACTCAGTGGCAAGAGGTGTGTCAGAATGGGACACACTGCCACGCTGAGAGTGTATCTACACTGCAAAAGCTGCACACAGCGGAGCCAAGCTAGGTGTGCTTGAGTCCTATCCCAGTGATGAAGACACTTCTGTGTGAGCGTCAAGTCAGGCAAGCGAGCAGCATACATACCCAGGCTTGTGCTTTCCAGAGTAGTTGAGGGCTATGCTGGCTCCAGTGCCCACCTCTGAGTAAAATTTCAGCAACAGAAACTGAGGAGGTATTCATTTTTCACTTAGTGGCACAAGGAAACAGTGAGCAGCCACAGAGGACCTGTCCCTTGCAGAAACCCAGGAAAGCAACATTGCATTGGTTATAATCTATTCATATTCTGTGATTTGGTTTGCTTGTTTACTGGCAGCTGTAAGGATTAGAAATTTGAATCTTTTAGTATTTGTAATAAAAGCTGCAGAAGTAGATGGCCATTGCCCAGGAAAGCTTCCTGCTCTCAGCTTACAGCTCGCTAATAATCTATTGCAGGGGTGTGGAACCATTTTTGGGTTGAGAGCTGCATACAAGTGAGAAATCAGGCCTTCCCCTGCAATCTTCACTGAGAGAGACACTCCCCACATTCTCCTTGCATACCAGAGCCTCGGAGGGGGGCATGCTAGTAGATTTTTTTTGTGCTTCAGCCCTGTGGGGGATGGTGCGGGAGCTGTAGCACCAGCACAGGCTCCCTAATGCTGAGGGGCAGCCCTGAGCCTTGAGGGCCAAATTTGGACAAGCCAGGGCCAGCATCTGTCTCCTCACGCCTTAGGTTCCCCACTCCCGCTCTAGTGATATTTGCAGACACTTACATTTTATGGGTTTTTTTTTTTATACAGTGCGTATCTTTTGTATGATAACCAGAAAGTTCTAAATACTGAGTTATCCCATTTCTATTTATTTTTAGATTTTTATAGAAACTTTGATATGTATCCATTCCATAATTTAAAAATCTCCTGTTAATAACACATCATAAAGGATTGTTTACCTTGCCGTAAAAATTAAATATTCACCAGCAAATACATCCAGAATAAAATAAACTCCAAATCATCCAGTTGCCCTCTACCCAATACTCCCTGGAAAATTAATGACACTGAAAATTGCCAATACCATGGATATGGGAAGTGATAGATATCAACCTTAACAAGTTTTCCATTTTCTCTCCAGTACTTGATAAATTTAGGGAGTTCAGATGACTTTCTAAATATCCAAATTGGATCTTGTAAAGAAATTCCATTTTTCATTAACACAGTGCACCTGTGTGTTTCTATTTCTTTTCACTTTAACATTTCATTAACATATCATATTTCATAACAGATCTTGTAAAGAAATTCCATTTTTCATTAACACAGTGCACCTGTGTGTTTCTATTTCTTTTCACAAATTTCTTCCCTGTTGAATTTGATGAATGTAAATGGCGATTTGCTCAACACTTCCCTGAAAATGCAGTATTTAAGACAACAGCAAGGATTTTGATTATTTTCTTCTTTCCTGTAGATGTTCTTGAAGGCTACAATGGAACAATTTTTGCATATGGACAGACATCTTCAGGAAAAACACATACAATGGAGGTAAAGTAGTAATATTTTGTTGTAATTGGGGAGGAATTGGAAATTAAATATGATCAGTTTCTTCAGACAATATGGATGTTTAGAAAAATGAATTGTGGCATGTAAGAAGACAGACAGAAGTCTTATTTATCATGTAGAAATTTCTTCAGTACGTAATTTTCTTCAAAGGTTTTTATCAATAAGTAACTGAAATAAGGAATAGTGAATGACAAGTGCAAACAACTGTAGCTTCAACAGATTTATAGTACCAGGTTTAGGTGTATATATTTTTAGAGGTTTTTTTAAATGGGATTTATTAATCACAAAACAAAAGCAATAATAAGGTTTTGTGTTTTTCATTTTGCATGCAGCATTGTGAAAATTGATCCTTCAATTTTTTTGTTTTTCTCATTTGCAATCCTCTTCTGGGAATTTTATGCTGCAGCATAAAAAGCTGAGCTTGTGAATCATTGCTCTTGAAGAGAGGAATGCAAGGCCAAAGGCTGAAGTCCTGAATGTATCCATGTTTCCAGCACTGAGAAGTACAATGTAGTCTGCAGCTCCAGGGCATCTTACCCTTAGCAAGTGAAAAGCACCCTACAAGCAGAGGCAGTTAGATGATTTGATCTCTAGATGCAGTTCTCTAAATGTCTGTGAACATATGTTACGGGCTTACTTTCATTGGATGTAGTTTGAATGTTGGGCTGAGATGTCTTGCAGTAAGAACCTCCCAAAATCAGTCTCTAAGAAGCTGGCTAACAGTCCACCCTCTCCCCCAGCATATTTTCATTTCAAGCTACAAACCATAAATAGAAGGTTGATAGTATTTGTGACTCTGTAAAAGAAACAGCTCCAGCCAGGAAAGAAGTCCTCCTCAAACTTGTTGAGTAACATCTAGCAGATTTGGCTCATGATTAATATGAGAGACCTAAGTAACCACTTTTTTGTTTTGTTTCCAGGTACTTGTAGTGGTGGTGTTTGATTGCTACAGTTGCTCCTTTACAGAGGGATGGCTCATGTGTAACTAAGTCTACCTTTGCCTCCCTTGGAAACTTAGGGCTGGGGTGGCAGGGGAGAGGAATCATCAACTCACTCCACACAGATAATCCACCAGCTCAAAATGTAATTAAATCAAAATGTCTGCAGGGTTTGAGCTTGTGCTTCCACATACTAAGAGGAAAAATCTCTTACAGTCAATTTTTATTCAGAATTACAGACTGATAAGGAAAACTGGCTGCTGTTGGAAAAGAGGCATGTTCTTCCTTTTTTATTAAAATAATAAAGCCACCCGTCACACTTAAAGAGGAATCAAGTTTGTGTTAATCTTTAATCCCTCTTTTTAACTCAACATCCTCTTGTAATGCTATTACAGTATTTTGAAGAAGCAAAACATAAGCCGATCTAAAATTGAAGAAATATTAAATCCTCAAGGTGAAGCTTTTATGGTAGATTTTCTGTAATATATATGTGAAGCATTTCATGTTTCAGTGTTACACTTAACAGGACAAAATAGTACAACAGAGCTCTGGTAAACCTATCTTGCTTGCATTTGTAACTTGCATAGGGAAAGTCTGAGAGTGCCTCACTGAACTATAAGACTCTTCATCAAACTACAGGTGTGTGGGGGGGTAACTTTTTCTTTTGTCCACCAGTTAGGGTTGCCAGGGGTCCAGGATTCACCTGGATAATCTGGTATTTTCACCTCCTGTACAGTAAAAAATAAATAAATAAATAAAAAATCAGAGAATCCCAGACACCTGAGAGGTGCGTGTGTGATTTTTTTTTTTTTTTTTTTTTTTTTTTTTTTTGCTTTGCTTTGCTTAACAACTTTGGTCTCCCCCTCCTTTCTTCCCCCCCTTCAACAGAATTTTTTCCCAGTGTTTTTTTTTGTGGGGGGGGGGGAAGAGGGGAGTGTTTGGTCTTTTTGTTTCAACCATCTGGCAACCCTACCACCAGTCTCAATAAGTTTACACTTATATTGATTACATGGCCTTTGAACTCACTCTAGACTCTTCAGTAGCTAGTCTGCCATAGGAGTGGTTATATCAATATTCTGAAATACGAGCACTGTCTCTGTTCCCCTTTGCTAGCTGCTGCTCCTATCCCATGTTAAAATGTGGTAATTAATGTTCTTATTAAAATGAAGGGTATTAATGAGCAAAGCACTGTCAGGATAGCAACAGAAGAACTTGCCTCCAAGCCATTCTTGAGGTCACGACTGGAATAATGAGAATTGTATAGCTTTAATGTCTGCCTGACAAGGCCATCTTGGTTTTTCCTGCCTTCAAAAATTGACGTGAATGCTTTTTAAAATTCAAGTACAGTGGTACTTGCTTCAGTGAACTCTGATTTTAGTGCAGCTCGATTTATTGTGAAATGGAATAAAATTCCCTCTTCTTCCAGTGCATCACTATGTGCACATTTTAATAAATCCCACTCTGCTCAGCTTCTTGAAAAAGTATTTCTGTTTGGCAAGAGAAAAAGATGATGTTGTCGTTGTGAGCATGATCTTGCTTCCATTGAAAAAAGTTCTCACTGACCTCAGTGGAAAAATGCTCTGGCCCCAGGCAAGGATTACAAAGTGTATACAAGTTGTTCAATTTGTGTGCACGCTTCATTGATCTTTCTTCATATAGATCCTTTGTTTTCTGGGACTGGGCTATGTAAGGAGTGAGTGGAGCATGAGAGGTCATTAAGGAAAAGAGAACAATTTAATTTTTATTTTACTTTGGCATTTATTTGGGGTAAGGTGAGATGTGTTGTAATCTCTTCCCAGTAGTGAAAGCACGCTCCAATCAGTCCTGTAGGGCAGGCGTGCAACAAAGTAGGGGTGTAAAATTCTTATTAATCATGTCACCTGATGTTTAGCCAGTTAACCAACTAAGCAGGCTCCCAGCTGCGGGGTTGCTCCCAGGCACCAGGTAAACTAAGGGTGATGCTTACTGGGTAACTTGCTAGCCCTTCACATCTCTACAACAAAGCTGGTTGCAGACTGATCCCAAGGGCAGGAATTAATGGCATTAAAGTTTTATACTGTAGTGTCAAACAATAATAGCATACCTTACGGCACAAACATAGGCCTTGGAGCATTAGCCTTTTGGTAGCAAAGGAAAGCAGGGATCACCTCTATTCCTGTCTGTCCCTCCCTCCTCCCTTCATCCTCCAATAATCAGGGATTCCAAAACAATTTATTTTTAATTTTAACTTATTACCTTCATTTTCTTTCTCACTGATTACAACAAACCACTGTACTGACCAATATAGGCTTCTCATTCTTTCAGGGGTTGAATGGGTCACCATATGCTATATATATAGGCTTGGCTGAATTTACTCTTTCATCCCATAATGTAAACATTTGTTTTGAACATTTTTTATTTTAATTGCTTTTAAATGTAATTGTGTGAAATTATGTGGGGTTTAAGTATTTTTAATTTTTATTGATTTAAATGTTCCAAGTTGTGGGAAAATATGAGGCTGTCAGACAATTGTTTAATGACAGATGTTGAGATTCAAAAAATTTTAAACTATGACCATTAAATCACAAATTGCCAGAATATACAGAGTAAATATAATTAAATCAAATGCTAAGTTGTCAGGCAGCATTTCTTACATTGCCTGTCTGTAAATTTTAATTGTCAGTGGAAATACGTTTTTACATTGTATTTGTATAGTGAAAATGTTTATCAATAAAAATATAATTCTTCCAAGCCAGACTATATATAGTGATTAACATGAACGTTGTATAAATGCCAAATATATGCACATTTTTAACATTAATTAAACATTCATGGTCTAAATATAGAGCTGTGCTCTGCTTTTATAGGAAGGGGCATTTAGCAGTATAATTGATTCTGTTTTTCCTGGGATCTGTAATTTAAGGACAGAAAACTATGGATGCTTTGAACAAAACACTAGAGAGAGAGAGAGAGAGAGAGGAGAGAGAGAGTGCTATATTTAGAACATTTCTGTTTTCATGTTTAATTTCAATCATACTGGCTTAATGTTTATAAGCTAGCTAACTGCTACTCCATCAGCTCCAGTTTCTTTGAATGCAGCAAGTTGTGTCTACAGGGACTGTATCTGAAAACAGTAATAAAAGCAGACTAATTGATAAGGACTAATTGATAAGGCAAAACAATAAGATCCAAAAATTTGCATACTATATAAAAGCTATATAGCTAGTTTGAAGAGTCTCTTCTTGCTTGTTGTTGTTGCTTTTCCCGTTGAAATGGGTTTACCCATAGAAATGCCTGATTATATTTTTAAACTGATGACTCATGATTCATGACAACCCAGATATCTACCCAATATTCTATTAATTAATAGAATTAATATTCTATTAATAAAATCTATTATTATAGATATTAACATTTTTGCAAAAACCCACAGAAATGTAAATAACACAAATAAATGTGGTCAACTCTATCTTGAGTTTGTATGTTTCAATAATATTCCATAGTCTCTTGAAAAAAATCCTTTATATTGTATTATTATGCCTTATTTGACTGCAGGGCGAGCGGGGCGGCTACCTGGGCCCCACGCTTCAATAGGCCCCGTGCATGCGCTCCTTCCTGTCGGCTGTGGCCATGGCGCATGCGCGAAATTGTGCTGCCCCGTGCTTCACTAGGCCCCACGCCCTGGGCCCCGCAAAACTCTCTCATCCGCCCCTGTTTGACTGTGTTAATGTAAATGATTGCACAATGTGTGAGATCTTCTGTGTTTATAGAGTTTGCTTGATATTTAGAGCCTCTTGGCAGGGCACAGGAAGCTGTCTATGCCCACTAATGCAGAGAATGGTCATGAATAATATCAAATGAAATCATTGCATATAACCAAAACTCTCCCTTCCCAGGTTTCCCTTTTAGCTGCCTGCACCAGTGAAAGATTTAGAATAGAGTCTAATGAATGCAGCTTCAGGACTTTTTCTTTTTTGCATGTTTTCATACATCTGAACATAACCAGAAAGATCATTCTGTATGTTCTGAGTGAGTTTTGTTTGTGTTTTCTCTGAGTTTAATTGGAGTATGACAGTGTGGCAGTAGGGGAGTGTTCTGCACAAAATGCCAGGAACTGACAAAACTACTGGGTACTTTGTAAAATGAAGAATGCTAACACATTGAGTCATTCTGACACCTCTTGTCTATTAAAGCAAATCCCTGGAGAGCAGGGAGGTGTTGAGAGGTGTCTGCTGTGTAAAGATTTGTTTGAGGAAGGCAGTCATTGTAAAGGTGCACAAAGAAGCCCCTTTCCAACTTACAGTTTTGCTATTGTATCTCTAGGGGAAGCTGCACGACTCTCAGCTAATGGGAATAATTCCAAGAATTGCACATGACATCTTTGATCACATCTATTCCATGGATGAAAACCTGGAGTTTCACATAAAGGTAAATGCAGAATGATGTGTTATGTAATGGGCCAGATAAAAAAAAAAATGAGCTGGATGGTAAACCTCAGTCTTGTTTCAAAAGGCAACATTTCACTATAGGACTTTTCATTTTCTGTATGTGATTCAAAGAACGATTTAATTCAAGAGATTTTTTAAAATAGGAATCTGATATATTAGTCTGCTGTAGTTAGGGTAAGGAATATATCCTTGGGTTTTTTCCTTTTTGTATGTCTTTCACATCTCTCTAATAATATAATGCACTTCTTTTTCCTATAGTGGTTCCAAAACTCAAATACTTGGATTTTCAGATAACCCTGTTATTAGTAGTTTGGTTAATGGATCTTCAATGAGAGACTGTAGAATCACTATACCTGCTTGAGGAAGTAATGTTCTAGGTTAGAGATGAGTTGACTCAGGGGAAAATGACCTCTGACAAATGGGAGATTTACAAAGGGTATGTAGCTGCAGGGATTATCTTTGGGTCTATTTGCTCCTAGTACATCAAAACCTTTTCCCTTCAACTGCAGTGGCCTGGCCAGATAATTCCTCCTTTTGAATGTGATTAATTTCTTTTTCAGAAACTTCATTGTTACTTTGATTAGTTTGGTCAGGATTTAGGTGCTTACTGCATTTTAAACACTCATTTAAAATACTTTAATGTATTGTTGGGTATTTATTTGATAATCCTGGTGTGAGTTGCTGGACCAATTACTGCTGTCATGGAAGGATTACATCAGTTTTGTAATAGAATAATTTTCTTCGTTAGTAATGCACAGTCAATTTTGTACAATGTTAGTAACCACTTGTGAAAAATATTTTAAACAGGTTGATGGTGTCAGTGTTCCAGCCTAAATGAGAACGAGGCTTGAACAACCCAAAGTTTACTCCCATCTCTGCCACTCATTTGAGCAAGTAGTGTAGGCTTTGTGTGCCTCCATTCCCTTTTTCCAAAACAGGGATTCTTACCTCCTCAGTGCAATTACTAGGATTCATTTTTAGCATTAATGTTTGCAGTGCTTTGGGTTCCTCTTGATTATAGGTGTTACATAATAACAGATTATCAGTATTTATTTATAGGTGGGATATGTGAATGCTTGAAGCACCATAGTCTTTGGAAAGCATGAAGCTGTAGTGATTTGTCCCTATTCAGGCAAAACTTCCCTTGATTGCAGGCTGCAGAAGGGAGTGCTGTAACATAGAACAAGTAACTTCTTGCTCCTCTCCAGACACTTAATGCCATGCCATTCATTTCAGTTTTCAGACCTGTTTAAGATGTAGTAATCTCTTGCAAGGGTGCATCTACACTGCACCCGTAGGTCGAAATCAGAATCACAATTTGAGCTATGCAAACTGCGCATCTTATTTTGATCTAATTTAGAAATAGTTTATTTTGAAATTTGGCGCTGTGTAATAAAGAGCTGTTTCAAAACATCCCTTAACTCTCGTGGAATGAGAGTTACAGGGATGCTGGAATAGTGCATCTGTTATTTCAAAATAGCTTTTGAAATAACAGGCATGTTTAAATACACAGAATAGCTGTTTTGAGATACTTTCGGTATCCCAAAATAGCGCAGCTGTCTGGACGTAGCCTTATTGAAATATGTCTAGATGGAAGTTAGGTTAGCTCAAATACTGGGCCAGTTACAGTTAAATTAGAGTCACTTGCCATGCCATGGTGGTAGCACAGTATAAAAATATGGGGAGAGTTCCCACAGCTTTGGGTGCAACTGCATTAACAAAATGTAGATTTGCAATTAATAGCTGGTGATTTTTCAGCAGCAATAGTAATGATGAGAATACTGGCATGGTGTGGTATTGGGGTAGACTGGCAGAAGTTGTGACTTATGGATTGAATATTGCTAATATTGGCAAAGTCTTAAGACCGTGAATTTGGACAGGATTTTGGATGGTCTAGAATGGAATCTTCTAATGGCTGTTAATATCAGAAATTTGTTTAAAAATGTGTGCAATAGGCTGACGTCATTAAATAATAAGAATTATTCCATTAAAACGTTTTATCCAATAATGCATCTACCCTAACTATCCTGTCTGAATAGCTAAAATTTAAAGAGATTTAATTTTAAAATTTAATGAGATGCAATAAAAACTTGCAACAAAATGGACTATAGTTTATTATCCAAACAGAGTAAATAAGGAGAGAGTCTGAAAGCTTTGCATTTGATTTAATGGCTTATCAAGCATAGAATACGGAGTTCAATGTGCAGCTGCTGATAAAAATGAAATGTTGATGTAAGTACTTTCTTGGGCTTTTTAATAAATGTAAACAAACAAACAAACAAAAAAAAAAAACCTTGGATCCTCTCCACTGTTTATGGTATCTGGTCTTTTACTCTTTTGTCTCTTGTCTTGAATGTGTAAGTCTGACTCTTTCCTTGGTGTCCAGGAAAAGATTGAGACCTATGAGATTTGTTCATGTCTTCTCCTGTAATGAATAAATAGTCTATTTTCTAGACCAGTGGTTTTCAAGTTTGTTTTTTTTCTTGTGACCCAACTGAAGAGAATTGTTGATGCTCACAACTCAACATAATTATGACTAGAGTACGGGCTTGGGGGGTGGGGGAGAGCAGGAATAGGTGGTTTGGGGTATAGGAGGAGAGGCTCCAGGTTGGGGGGGCAGCGGCAAGGGGATGGTGCTTGTGGTTGAGTACAGGCTTACTTCTAGCAGCTCCTGCTCCAGCGCTGCAGTGGGGTGCTATGGCAGGCTTCCTGCCTCTTCTGGCACCATGAACCATGCTGTGCCCTGGTAGCAGCCAGCAGCAGGTCTGGCTCCTAGGTAGAAGCATGCAAGAAGCTCTGCATGCTGCTCTGACCTGCAGGCACAGATTTTCTT